GAATATCGTTTTGCCTGTTATCCCTGCGCCTTCATCTATGTGGCCTTTTACCTGTTGGCTTACCTCTGCACTCTCCACTCACCACTACCACCACCACTACCACCACCACCACCACTTTTCCTTCCTTTACCCCCCACCCATGCGCCTCGACATCTCTCTCACCACCCATGTTATGCAATGACGGCCAGCTCCAGCGTGCCTGGCGCTGGAGTCGTTCCTCCTATCTTCACCAACCCCCAACCCACCACCGACATACGCAATGAAGGTACCGGCAACACGCTCGAGAGCCCCCACGCCCCCAACAAGGCACCAGCCACTGGAGTGCAGGCTGCTGGTATGCGCGCGGTAGCAGCACGCATGGTCGCCTTTTACTTTCGAGCTCCGGTCAAGGCCTTCTTTCGCGGACGCATCGATTACATGGGCTATGCGAGAGCCATCAACCCGCATTTCACCGCAGAGGCAAAATGGTCGTGGAGGATGACGACGCCCGCCGTGCTGGCACACGCCATCAGGACCGAAGGATGGGGCTTCATACCCAAGCAGGTCCTGCCCCCTCTGATGGCCAATACATGGTGTGTTTGTTGTACTCGGCTGCCGACAAAGTGAATCCAAAACTGACGGCGAATGAGGGTAGTATCGGTGCAGTCTTGTATACAGGCTACCTGCACAGTCTATCTGCCCTCCACGAACCATCCTCCCACCAGACGAAGCGGGTCTACCCTCCACCGCCGCCCTCGGTAACCTTTACTGCCGGCCTCGTAGCAGGTGGTGTCCAGTCTGTCATTGCGGCCCCATTCGACGCCCTGCAAACCCGCTTCCGTACCGCAGACATCCTCGAGGGTAGACACAAGACCATGTGGCACTATGCGGCTGACAAACTCCGCTCCATTGGTGTTCAGGGCATCTTCGCAGGCTGGAGCCTCAGTTTTATCAAAGACGCTCTTGGCGCCGCCGTCTTCTTTGGTACATTTGAGACGGTCAAAAGTCAGGCCTACCTTGAGTTCGTCACACGTTATTACGGCAGTAGGACAAGAGACACATTACTGGAGAATTCCATTCCCTACCTCGACGAGAATGATGATCGCCCAGTCATACGACCCCACTACATGCTGGAACCCATGTTCCTCCTCCTCGCCGGTGTCTCGGCATCCATAACCTCACAGCTCATACAACACCCCTTGACCGAGATCCAGGACGTCCACTACCGCCGTCTTGAAGCCTTGGACTTTCAAGCGCACGAGGAGAAGAAGCCATCGCAGATTATGCGGCGCTACTACCATGCCTACCAAGAGACATTTGCACAGTGCAGCGTGCTTGCCAAACGCGCTGGTGGGTGGAGAAGATATCTCTATCGAGACTTCTTCATGAGCACGATTAAACAGGTGCCGAGCACGAGTGCGGGCTTGATCGTGTTTGAAGTTGTGAGGAGAAAGTATTCGTTTGAGAATGAAGAGGTGATGATTAATCACGAGGACGCCAGGATATTGTTGTCTTGAGGGTACTGGAAATATAGAACAGGATGCTTGTAAACAGAGTTTCGAACCCAATGGCTGGATATTTTTGGCTCGAGGCATGCATGACTGGACACTTGTACATGTAGTTCAGAAACGCATAGCTGGATATCTGGTACATTGCCATCGCCAAGAGTCCCACAACCCTCAACTCTAATGTACGCATTATACAAAATAAACTTCTAGACGACTTCATCACAAACATCCATTCTCACTCCTCTCACTCTCCCCCCGCCTTCCACACCGGCACCCACCCCGCCAACAACACCCCTCATACAGCCCCCTTACCCCAACACACACTCACAACCCCAGTAGAACCCATCCGGCCATCACACTCCACTTCATTCGCGCGTCGTGCATCATTTCTCATGCGGAGCTGGAGTAGAATAGACTTTGTGAGCATGTAGAAAACGGCCCGGAGAGTTGTTGCGAGAGTCAAATGTGTGTATGAAAACACAGTAGGTGATGGCTTGTTCAAATGAAAAAATGGTCTATTCAAGGTATCGGATATATGTAAGAGAAATGTCTTCATGAGCCGTGAAGAAAGGAGAAGCATAGGTCTGAATTGATACAACAGACTTAATAGGGAACAAACTCCGCCATGCGCGGTGCTGGCCGAGGCCGTTTCATCGTTATGGTCCCCGTAACATGTGTAGTCGAAGTTGAGGTCACCCAGACAGTACTTGTTCCCTCGGGAGTTGGCTCCGTAGGAAGCTCAGTCGTGAGCTCGGGGGTCGGCTCAGAGGTGCTATGGATATTAGCATGTCTCGGCAATCAATGTGGGGATTTGACATACTCTGAAGATGCATGCTTTAAATGCCTGGTAACGTATATCGTCGTTGTGACCTCCTGCGTGCTTCTCACAGTTGCAGTCGGCTTTCTCCCCGAGCTTATGCTCTCCGTCTCAACTTCAGTCTCAAGCTGGAGCACTGTGGAAAGATCGATACTTTCAATGGTATCAGTAACAGTGGACGTCATGGTCTCCACTATCAGAGTGCCGGGCCCCGAGACTGTAGTAGAGACCTGAATGGTACGCTCTGTTGTTCGAGTCGAGGTGACAATCACGACCTCCCACACTTCTTGGTAGCGCACACATTCCTGGGTGCCATTGTCTTGCTCGGTACAAATCTTCACATCGACATCTGAAGGTGTGTCACCTGCTGTCAACGCTTGCCATGGAGCAAGATAGTAAGTAAACAAACGCCTCACACTCGGCGCTGGCGTTATCAGTGAAGAGAACCCTGTGGTTGCGGGGGTTGGCGTTGGTCTTTCCAGTGAGAATCCGCACTCGGTCGAGAATGTGACTTGCTGTTCACAGTCTGTAACCGAAATCTTGGACCCTATTCCTGTGAGGGTGGTCGCACAAACGGTCGTTTGAATGGGCGCAAATACGGTCTCGCATCTTCCAGTGCCTTCATAAGACGTAGAGTACTCGGTCGTTGAGGAATTCAGATATGGTGGGCCGTTCGTGATTGGCCAGACAGCCATTGCGGGCGCAACGCACCAGGTCATCTCAGGAATGTATGATGTGACGACCTGGCTTTGGGCTGTAATCTCTATCGGCGAAGCCCCTGGAGAGGGAATGACTATGCTGTGAATGGAACGTGTGGTGGTTGGGGCCAGACATGAGCCTGAGGCGTATTCTGTGGTATAGATTGGCTCTGGTGTATAAACAGCCTCGGTGGTACTGTCATTCATGGTCATCTGGGTTGGAAGCGCTGACTCGGCATTTGGTGTGGTATTCTGGAGATTGTAGATCTCACGCGATACATCATTTCGAAGCTGTGCGGCCGCAACATGAAATTGCCCGACGATGGCCAATGTGCTGAACAGCTTGTGGGTTCGCTGAAGCGGAGACATGTTGAAGTTTGAGCAACAAGAAGTTGTCTTTTGGAAAAGGGCGAGTCAGCCACGTTAGGGGTAGAGATGCTATTTACATGATCTCGTGTGGAATGTGAGAGCGTTGGCATGCTTCTCCCTTGCCGATACCTACCACTTGTAGGCCAAACTGCAAGGTTGCCCGCTTGCTTCCAAAGGTCATATTCTGGAAATTACAGCTGAACTTCTGAAACATGACCGTACTCGTGGGTCGCGCAAGGCGCAACGTGTTGAAGTACCGGTATCTTCACGGTGGCCAAGAGTAACAGGTACCACCGCAAGCCCATCGCCCTGTGAGGAGGCATTGTCTCAAAGCTGCCCAGTTAAGATTACGGTTACATTTGATGTTGAGAGATTTAGAAACTCATGAAGCACAAAGTAAAAGACGAATTGAGATGATGTACCGTAGGTTATCAATGAGGGGGGGCATTCCTCAGAGCTGCCTTGCTTCCAATTAATTCGTCAGCCGTTGTCTAAATACTATGACCAAAATATAAATTGTACACATCGGTCCTAATGTAAAACTCACGAGAATGAAAAATCTTATCATTTGCTTGTGTCATCGCACATCCGGTAACTTAACGCTACAAGAGCGAAGAGTCGCAGGTACCCAGGTACCCCTCAATGAATTCGGAACCTGCCCGCCGAACTGTGAGCACATCAACGTTTGATTATGACACAGCTGGTTCATTCATCAATCTCCATTTCTATCCTGCAGAGAAATTTGCCATACAAGCTCTAAAATTTTGAGTATCTTGTGTCAGGATGTGTTCTTCACCTCCTATCAAACTTGCTGTGCTCGATGACTACCATGATATCGCTGCAGGACATTTCTCGCACATTGACAGATCCAAAGTGGACATAACAATCTTCCATGATACTCTACCCTCATATTCACACCCCAAGACTTCCAATTCAGAGCGGCAAGCCATTGTGGACCGTCTCTATCCCTTCACCGCTCTCTCTACGATGCGCGAACGCACCCCATTCCCCCGCGAACTACTTCAACAACTGCCAAACCTCAAAACGGTATTCGCAACTGGAGGCAAATTTGAAAGCTGGGATCTGGATACAATGAAGGAACTGGGCATCACGGTGTGCGCTGCACCAGGCAAAGGAAGTGGACAGTCGCCGCGTTCGATGTCTGTGAAGAAGGGCGGGGGCCATCCAACAACACAACATGTTTGGGCTCTGATATTGGGGTTGGCGCGCAACATCGCTGCCGATGATGCTGTAGTCAAAGGCAAAGGCGGCCCACCTGGATGGCAGACGGAGCTTGCGGTTGGATTGCAGGGCAAGTCGCTAGGGGTGGTTGGCTTGGGTAGAATTGGAGCACACGTCGCAAGAGTAGGCGTGCTTGCTTTTGGTATGAAGATAATATGCTGGAGTGCAAACTTGACACAGGAGAAAGCAGATCAGCTTGCTGAAGAGACGGGACTTCCTATCACCGGCGCGGGCATGGTCGATGAAGATGAAAAGACGTTTAAAGTCGTGAGCAAGGAAGATTTGTTCGCCTCTTCAGACGTCGTCTCTGTGCACTATGTTCTGAGCGAGCGATCAAAAGGTATCATAGGCGCAAAGGAGCTGGAATGGATGAAACCTTCCGGTCTATTGATTAATACGTCGCGCGGCCCACTTGTCGACGAGGCCGCATTGCTGGAAACATTGAGAACTGGCCGCATACGTGGTGCGGCGTTGGATGTATTTGATATTGAACCCCTTCCAGCTGATAGCCCATGGCGTACAGAAGATTGGGATATCAAGGGGAAGAGCCGAATATTGCTCACGCCCCACATGGGTTATGTGGAGGAGGGCATACTGGCGACTTGGTATGAGGAAACTGCAGAGAATCTGGAAAGATTTGTCAATGGGAGAGAATTGTTACATGTGATTACATGATTTATCTCGCTCCTCTGATCGTTGAGTAGCATGTGCATCAAACGATCCGAATCTCATGTCTCTAGCAAGGCGTCTTCCGTACTATCGAGTAAAAAGCGTACTGGTCATATTCCTGTGACTCCTTTTTTCAACGAGTTGACTTTCTTACATTTCTAATATATATATCCTGATGCATTCTTACATTTCTAATATATATATCCTGATGCAGTCACTAGTATCATTGTCAAACAGTTCTGAAGAACTGTCAGCAAGGGTTAAAATTCAATAACCGGATAGCATGGTAGAAAGCGTGTGATAGTCTTGCTGCATTTCTATTCTATGTTGTATATCGGAATCGCTCATTAATCGTGCCACAACTTGAAAACATGGACCAGTCACGCACCTCCATCAGTACTGTCACCATCTCTGATGACCATTAACGTATTGGACAACTGATAACCTGTACATCGACCGTCTTAGAGATACACATTGTTGGACCCAGCGGCCAATCGTCTTTGTTATCCCTGCTGTCTATACTACTCTGGCTGCGCTCTCGCTCCCTGTACTCGGACGCCATTATGTGCTTTTCATCACTTCTCCGTCTGATATCCGGTACACTGTCGGGTGAGAGTGGCCTCACGTCACCCACCCAAGTGCTTCTATCTTCGTCGTCGACGCTCTCATTGCTAGCGATGCTGTGCTGGACTCTCGACAGGGGAACATCTCGGTCTTTGGCTTGCTCACTGGCATATTGTGCTGCCTTGCTGTTTCTGTTCCCGTCGTAGGAGGAAGTCGGCTTGGATGCGTGGGTCATGAGCATAATCAGACGTTGTGCCGGTCGCCTTAGTACGGTTAGACATGCGCAGATTATGCCCAGATTCGCTTCGATCAAGGTCCAGATTCCGCGTGGGATGAAGTTGAAGGTTATGTCCTGTTGGTTGCGGACACTGTTGGCGACTGCTGTAACGCGGAGAACAGATGTCGCAGTAACACTGTTGTTTCGTTAGATATGAGGAGTGTTCCGCGGATCAACCGATACTTTGCGTTTGAGAGTTTGGAACATTTGAACCAAATACGCGTCAGAGGATGGGAGACTGGCAAGGGACACTTACATGCCACCCAGCAAGAATAGACAGTACACCATGACTTTCTCCTGCGCCTTGAGATGTAATTTGTAAATTTCTCGAACCGGGAGCGCCAGCACGAGCACATCCGTCGAGATATTCAGGACCGCGTTGGCGAGCCAGAATTTCGAGTTGTCGATGCAGGTACCTTCGATTGACTTATCCCATGACCGCTGTATGGGTATGCATTGTAGAATGGCGGCGAGCGTGCTAGCGACGCCCGAACCAATGATGATCACCAGGGCTGAAATGCAGAGCCACTGGAAATGGCGTGTGATGAAAATACGCTTGTAGAGTAAAAGGACAGAGGTCTTGTTCAGGCATACGACGATCTTGTATGGCGTTTGCGCAACCCAGAAATACTTGAGACAGGTGCGCAGTTCCTCTATCGTGAGATCCTGTTTGCGCTTGCCATACCCATTGACAATTGCGAGTTGGATGGAGATGGATAGAAAGATGGAGAAGCACTAGGCGGCAGTTAGCTTTGGCTTTGGCTTTGGCGACGGCAGAGGCTGAGGGCTAGAGCTTACGAGAGATGCGACGATGGTATAGTCGTCAGCGCCAAGTCGAACAGCCTTAAATCGAGTCCATACTCTCACAGTAACCAGGAGTCCAGCGCATAGGACCATGATCAAGGAGGTTATGTATAGCTTCCAGCCATGATTGGCTTCACCGTCGGATGGCAGTCCGATATTCACTGCCATTCTGAAAATGGAACCATGCAACGACGTGTCAAAACCAGTAATTTTGTGGAGGCGTGGTGGTGGACGAACTGGCGGGCCAGGGACGGTACAAGTGTACCAGGCCACCCACTGCTGATCCTACATCTTTTCAATGGTGAGTGAGATCTATCTTTTTTTTTTCCTGCAGAACCTATGGCGAATGACGGAATTCTGGGCAGAGATGATTGGATACATCGTTGCGTCCAAGTCGATAAACCACTCGCCAACACGGGATAGCGAGGAAGATCTATAACCCTGGGAGTTAAGCGCGATCTCGGTACGGAGATTATGTGCCATTCTGAGGACTGACCGCAACCATGTGCAAAGATTTGTACAATAGGTACGTACCGGTATGTGCCTAGTGACATATGTCGCCGACCATACCGTAGAGTTTCGCTTCACGGATCAAATCAATCCAGTTACATGTCTGCCGTCGTATAACGGTGTAGGCAGGCAGTTAGAAACGACAATGCACAGTTGGGACTAGTAGGTACCGGTACCGGTAGTGACTGCAGACAACAGTGTTCACCTCGGACTAACGCCAAGGTGAATTGATGTCTCCACATGGCACCACATGGCAGCACGTGAAAACGTGGCGCACTCCATTTCGGGATGCATTCGCAATCATTGTCAGTGTCCGAGAATGGGGGTGAAGAACCGAGGGATCGGTCAGCAAGCCTGATGGGCCGTCTCCATGTCAAAGATCTCCTGGACTACCGTAACAGCCGGCCTGTGTACTCCCTACCTAGTACCGGTACCGTACCCGTACACAGTCGCTGTCGTTCACCCTTCTCTCCCCGTCTGCGAACCATCTTCCCATCCCCCCGGCAATACTGAGAAGATGCGCGGACTCATCGCTATCGGATCGCTCTGGCTTTGTGCTTTCGAGTCGTCCTTGGCTGCTCCAAGCACAACTGCCAAAACGGTACCGGTACGAACGGAGAATGGCCTTATTACGGGACATCGTGCACCGAAGGCCAACAACGTCTGGGAGTACCTGGGCATACCATATGCAGCACCTCCGTTAGGAGACTTGCGATTTGCAGAACCGCAAAGGTACCAAGGCAAGGGCGCATACAATGCGAGCAGTTTTGTAAGTTGCGCCTCTTGTTCCCGGGCATTCTGGTAGATTGTTTCGACTAATTCGCGAGATCCGTGGTACCTAGGGCTAGTACGTATTGACGCGTCTGCGAGACATAGCACATCTGACCATGCATAGTGACTGTCCCCAACAGGCTGCTTCACAGCCTGCCTTTCCAGGCTTCACATCTCAGGCCAACAGGATATTAGCCTTCTTTACTTCGGCTACGGGGACGCGGCGCAGTGAGGATTGTCTGACTTTGAACATTTGGTCGAAACAGACGGGACCATTCAATGCACAGAAGCCAGTCTTCGTCTTGTTTCACGGAGGACGTCAGTCATTCACCTTCTGTGCTCATGGGGTCGCTAACTAAAGGTTGTAGGCTTCGCGGGGGGCAACACAGCTACCCCATTCGCCAATGGCCAGTACCTCGCAAACAATGAAGATATCGTAGTCGTTTCGGTCAACTATCGCCTGAATGTCTTCGGTTTCCCCGGTGCCCCCGGCGCTGCAGCCAATCTTGGGCTAAAAGACCAACGTCTCGCCGTAGAATGGCTTCGAAAGAACATTGCTGCCTTTGGCGGCAACCCCAAGAAAATTGTGATAGCAGGCCAGTCCTCCGGCGGCGCCGCCGTAGACTGGTGGTCGTATGCCTACCGCAAGAACCCCATTGTCCACGGCCTCATGTCGACTTCGGGGAATGCCTTCAGTTTTCCGATGAACACTGCGCAAAAGCAAAAAGACAATTGGAACACGCTGTCCATTGCCATGGGCTGCGGCAACTCCGCCGATTCCCTCTCCTGCATGCGCAAACAACCCTTCGAAGCCATCTCGCTCGCCGTTACCAGAATCGCCCCCAGCCCTGGTGGAAGCCCCGTCCGCTCAACACCACCATTCTACCCCATGGCCGACAACAGCACCATCTTCAGCGCACAAGAATACCTCGCTCGCTCTTCCTCCGGTGACTTCGCCCGACTCCCCTATTTCCACGGCCACAACGACTACGAGCAGGGATACTATGTGATCCCTGCCTTTGCCCAGGGCCGCAACGTCACTGAAGAGCAATCCGCACAATTCCTTCTCGAGTCGTTTGTTTGTCCGACGTCGTATGAAGCCCATCAACGCGTCAAGGCCAATGTTGCAACATGGGTCTATCGCTACTTTGGCGATTGGGACAACACGCGCTTGTATCCCACGAGCGGTGCATACCACGGCTCAGAATTGCACATGATCCTCGGAGGCTCGGAAGATGCTAGCGGTCTTCCTGCCACACGCGCACAAAAAGAGGCCGTGAAATTGTTTCAGGGAGCTGTTGCGGCATTTGCCGCGGATCCTCAACACGGCTTGACGAGGTTTGGATGGCCGAAGTTTGATCCAAAGATGAAGAGTTGGATTGAGCTTGTGGTGGGGGGTCAGGCGAGGGTGTCATTTGCGGAACCGGGAAAGTATGATGGAAAGTGTGCGAATGTTACTATGGGGGCTTTGTCGACGCTGGCTTGCAGTTGAGTGGATTCGTACCTGTTCATACAAATTGTAACCGTATCACCTAGCATTTGGTAATGTAATACGTAGACTTGCAATCAGGTTGAGAGCAGGGCTATAATCTCCCATGTCGGTATCCTCTTCGGTATTGAAACACAAGACTTCATCAAATCTGGGTCAGGCTGGAGTTTTCGTGTGCAAAGGACAGTCACGTCTAACGACCAGCTTCCCCGTTCTTCTCCGCCTCTTCCCGCTCTTCTTCCGGTCTGATCCACCGGCGAAACATAATCGTCATGATACCACCAATCCCGACCTGAAAAGCCTGAAAGATAATGGCCGGAATCTGCATCTTCGACTGATCGACAGGACTAATATTGATATACATGACTGACGTCAAGGGAACCACCATGGCAAGCGCTTTCGCCGGACAGCAATAGCAACATGCGATGACATCTTTCTTCGGAAGCCAGAAGATCGAAGTCGTAAAGCATATTGCCAGCCAGACAAAGTAGAGGGCAATAGTGATGAAGACAATGAAGATGATGTTGGAATGCTTGACTGCGTTGAACGCGCCAGATTGGAAAGCCTGATCGAATGTCTGCCACACGAGCGTGAGCAGTGCAATGGATGATAGCTTGAGCATTTTCCAGTCGAAAAAGACCTTCTTGACTTGCTTTGGGAACATATACTGGACCACTTGGCCGACGGCCATGGGGAGGAAAAGCGATAGACCGAGCTGCATGAAGACGCGGCGATAGATTTCTCCATAGCCACCTCCGGCCACTAAGACTTTGCTATACCACGCGCCGGCGGAGAGGTACATTTGTATGATGATAGGCGTCAGGAACGGACACAGGAATTGGCCGATGACCGACTGAACGACAGTCAGTGCCGCGTTACCGTGTGCTTGTCTTGTCATGACAACATTGGAAGCCATGGTAGTAGGAGCACTTCCCACAAAGAGGAAACCGATGAGCAGCCAGGGGTCCATGAAGTCCGGGTCGGTGGCACAGATACTGACGATGGCGAAGGTGGCTGCTGAACACACCAGGTAGCATTGCAGCTGCACGAAGAAGTGCAGCTTCCATCGCATGTAGTTTTGTAGCAGGATGCGTGTCTCGAGCGTGCATCCGTTGATGAAGAAGATGACTGAAACCGAGAGATAGGTGATGACTGTCCGCTTCATTTGTTGCTGTGATGCTGGCACTTGGACTTGCGATGAGATGAGGACTACGAAGCCCATGGCGAGTATGAACCATTGATCTTGGATGAACCATTTGACCCACTCCCACGCTCTTCTGCGTTTCGACGTTTCGACCTTGCGGCTGGGATCTCCCGGGCTTGCGACTTCTTTTTGCATTGATGCTGCTCTCGAAAACATGGCCTCGCCATCCGTGGCTCTTGGCTTGCTTGTGTCGACTGTGTCGATATTGGCTACTTGCAGAGCGTGTCCGTCTGAAGGCATACTGTCGATACTGGTTGCTGGGGGTGGTTTTGCTTTTGCCATTATGTGTTTCGAACTGTGAGGCGCAGTGCAAGTGTTGTTTCTATATAAAAAGACAATGGAAAAAAGTCAACTCGCTCAGACTTTGATGGAGTCATGTTCGATTTAGAGTTAAGAAGATGTGCAAGAGTCCGGTAATACGACAGACGTAAAGATATAACCGAGCAGCCTATCACAACATGGTGCGTGGAGTTGTAGGGGAGAACGCATGACGCGGAGACGGACAATGTCGGTTCCTTGTAAGTTTGTGATTTATGATGACACGAAGCACCTACTGCCTTGGAGATGGAACGTCAGAATAGAAAAGGAAGAGTTCTTGCAATGTTTGTGTCAAAGGCGTCGAGTGTGGATAGAGACTCTTTCACTCGAGGGGTAATTGGGTACGGTAGGTGGCACTTCGAGTTAGTCAGCCCGCTTAATTCAACGAACGACCTTCACCGCCTCAACCACGAACAATCGCATACTGCAGACTCGGACTCCATAAGCTCTTCAAAGACACTCATCCTATAATTATCAATTCGGCTTACCCGGGCGGTCTTGCCACCCCCCAAGAATCCGCATGTCTGGTCCGAAAGCACCCGAGGATGCTCGCCGCAAACCCCTCTGGGCGCGCGTGTACAAGGACCTTCTCCACCACGCTGTTCCCGACTCGCGCTTCTCCTACGACTTCCTATCCTTCACACCCGACTTTCGCCATTCCGACATCGCCATGGACCATGTAGCCGAACTGCCCTGCTATACAAGTGCGTCTACCATTCTCATTACACCTGACAACAGCCTCGAGGGCTTGCGGTACCGTGCGCTGCGAGACGGGAAGAAGGTGTTGGTGGCTACGTATCGACTGCGTAGGGGGTTCGTGCTATTGGATCCCGCAAGGATAGAGGAAGGGTCGAGGAGGTTGGCTTCGTGTCTGGATGGAATGGAGAAGTCTGGTCTTGGGCGGGCGGTCACGATGGCTCAGCTGAGGGATGAGGGGGTCCATGTCGACATGTGTGTCACAGGAGCGCTGGTGGTGAATGAGCAGGGTGTCACGATTTGGGAGGGTCAAGCACTGTTTGAGGTGCAGTGGGCGCTCCTGCAGGACATTGAAGTACTAAGTGATAGTACCCCGGTTGCTGCCGTTGTTCATGCCTGTCAGGTGGTTGATGAGGCTGCTCTTGGGGTGGAGAGATTTATGCCTGACAAGAATGGCGAGGTCCAATGCGACTTCGTCGTCACACCAGATCGTGTGTTGCATGTAGACAATGCGCTCAAACCGAGTGGCGGCATAAACTTCAAAAACGTAGATCCCGATGGTTTGAACAACATCCCACCCTTGCAAGAGCTGAAAGGGATGCGCATGATGGAGCAAATCATGCAGAATGGCGGATTCGACAGCAAACCAGAGAAGATCCCGCAGCCACTGTCCGCCGAAGAGCAAATGGGGATTAGCATCGTAGAAAAGCTCATGAAAGACCTCAAGCCGTAGAATAACCGTCTCGCAATGTGAATACAGAAAGGTGGGTGGATTTGGCCGGAGATGTCAGGACATGTAAACAGTTTTCAAGATGTACCTATAACGTGATCCACCACCGAGCGCCCACCCCCACCGAGCGCCCACCAACACCAAAATCCACCACCCACTAAATAAGGATATTGCGCCACCCACAATAGCTATTATTACGAGATTTCTTAGAGTCGCGATTATTAGATCTATTAGAGTAGATTAAATATTTTAGATTATATAAGCAGCTTTTTAGGGGGTCTAATTAGGCGCCTATACTATAAAGTTACCTCTACTACTATATCCTCTTCTACTAGCTCCTTATTAACCACCTTAGCTAGTATAATAGTAGGAGGCTTAAGGATTTACCTTTTACCTATTTAGGACGTTTTAATATTATTTTAGAGTTACTTTTCTAGTTACTTAGTAGTTTTCTACTTATTATGTGTAGTAGCTTTTTAGGTAGCTTTCTCCTCCTACTCTTTCTTAGTAATTACTTAATTTAGGTAACGCTCCTCTATAAGTTAAGCTTTAGCAAGCTTCTATTACTTATAAAGCTTAATTACCTTACTTTTTTAGTGTTATAGCTCCTATTCTTTAAGGTTCTTTTACTTCTAGAGCTTAAATACTTACTCTACCTTTAATAGTAAAATAAATTAGGCACTACTACTATAATTATTATTAGGGGGTAATAATAGAGGTTTACTACGCTTCCTACACTTCTTCTTATTAGCTAGGGTAGCCCTTAGGTGTTTATTTTTGTGGTTAAGTAGAGTATTTCTTACTAATATAGTGTGGATTATCTAGCTAAGCTTCTTTAACTATTTATTATAGATATTAATTATAGTATTATAGAGTAACTACTCTATCTTTCTCTAATTACTTATACTTAATATTAAGGTTATACTATTACTTAAAGAAGGCTAGTTACTATTATTTATAGGTGCTTTAAACCTTAAAAGGATAATATTAGGGTTAAGTAGTAAGATACCTATTACTTTAAAAGCTATTAATATTAGCTTTTCCTTAAAGGTATTACTCTATATAGTATTAAATAACTAGTAGAAATCTCTCTTAGTAATACTTATAAGCCCTTAGGAGCTATCTAGAAAACTAGATAGTTAAGCTTTATATAAAGCTATAAAGGGAGCAAATACTATAATATTAAGTAGCTAAAGGGTGTAAGTGCTATAAGGGGGATATATTATAAGTAGGATCTTATATTTATTATAGTACTTAATAAACTCTATTATTACGTGAGATCTATAGCTATTAAGGATAAGGAGCTAGTATAAAGTACAAGCTTTAGCTTTTGTCTTGCAATTAAACACCTCCTTAAGCTAGGATACCCCTAGGGTGTAGCTTATCTACCTACTTAGTAATCCTGTAAAGAAAGCTTAGTGTTATAATAGGTTAAAATCTTATAACTAGGTATCCTATAGAGCTCTAGATTAGGACTAATAAATAAGGGTAGAGGTAAGAGTAGTACTATTAGCGTATATGCAAGCTATAGTAGTAATCTACTCCCTATTACTATCCTAGAGTATAGCTCTAATCTTTCTCTGCTTATAGGCGCTCTTATTAAATATATATTTAGTTTTTAATAGTACTCTAATAAGAAAACCCTTCTTATCTATATTATAGATATACTAACTCTTAATATTATATTACTCTATTTTTTAGTGTAAAAGCTTAAAGTATAAGCTATACTTAAAGGTAGAATTAGCTTTAAAGCAGTTATAATTAAGCCTAGTAGCCTAATAGGAGATAAGATTAATATTGTAGCAGTTAATAAAGCGCTATACCTAATTTTTACCTACTAGATTCCCTATTATTTTAGTTATAAAATTTTAAATAATAGTCTATATAGGGGGTAATCCTTACCTATAAAGCTCTTTAATATACTCTATAAGCTTACTTTCTTATATAGTGTTAAGTATTTAACTATTTAGTAGAGTAGTAGTGCGCGCCTGCTAAATTTTCTAGTAGCGTCTAGATAAGGTTAACCGCAAGCAACTATACTTTTCTACTATTTCTAAGTATGTAAAATCTTCTCTAAGAGTCAAGGATTTGATTGCTGCAAGCGCGTCGTTAATAGGTGCTATAGTTGTTGAGAAATTTGGTGTTGAAAATTTGGTGATTTTGGTGTTAGTGGGCGCTCGGTGGGGGTGGGCGCTTGGTGGTGGATCACGTTAGGTTTGTGTTGCAGGAGGGATATCAACCGGATCACGGAGCATCTTGATCCGATCAATCCTGATTAATACCCCTGTATAACCCACTATCTAATCAACTGCTAGCTTACTACTAAGTGCCTAATAAAACACAGGAGCTCTAGTAAGGAAGGTTTACTAATTATTTACCTTCTAGTAAGGGTAGCTAAAGCTCTATATATATAAGTCTAATTATAGTAGATATAATCTAATAATCTATCTCCTAAATTATTCCTAACCTTAGTAATCTAGATTTCTATAGTTATAAGCCTAGTTTGCGCTTTACCTTATTAAAGATTATCCTATCTATTTAAGCGTATTATTTAACTTAAATACTAAGCTAGCAAGCTTTACTCTTTCTTTATACTATTTCTTAAGCAGAAGCTTACTTATTACTCTTCTACTATAAGCGACTAAATCCTAAAGGGGGATATCCTACTTACTAGATTAACTAACTAGCCTACCTAGTATATTTAATTTAGATACCATGCCCTAACTAAAGGGATCTAGGTAGAGGTAGACCCTAATACTTAGGATACTAAAAACCACTTTAAGAATAAACCTATTAAGCCTAATATACTAACAGGTATTACACTATCTAATATAATAAGCAAATAGTATAAACTCTAAATAGCCTAGTACTAAGCTTACTTATTAGATTAGGTATTAAAGTTATTAGTAATCTAGAACCTTTTTATATAGGTTAATAATATAGTAGATTAAGGGATCCTTACCCTAGCCTATATAGAGCTTATTAATTAAGGAAGAGTAACCCTCTAAGCACTTATCTAAGTGCTCTGCAATAACCTAGCGCTAACTAATTTAAGCGCTGTAATACTAGCAAGATTATAGTATAAAGCTTATCTTGCTAAGGCAAAGATAAGTAGCTAAGATACTAATTACTAGCAGAAGGAGTAGATAATCCTATATACGTAAGCTAAGGTATATAACATTCCTAATATTAAAGGATAGCTTATAGTATAGGATTATCTTAAAGCTCTATCTACTAGGATCTTACTAGATTAGGGTTAAACTATATTTTAAAGGATTATTAAAAAGTTAGTAATAGGAGAGCTAACTTATAACCTCCTATAGGTTACTAAGATCTATTTATTACTTCTCTAAGAGAATAACATAAGATTAAGCTCTAAGGGTCCTAGAGTGTTTGCAATAATAGGAGCTCCACCTTCTAATTAACCTAAGAAGGAGTCTTTATACCTATATAGTAGATCGTACCTATAGAAACCTCCTAAATATAAAAACGTTATTAAAGCTTAGACTAATATAGGTAATAAGCTTACTACTACTTAACAATTAGAGATTAAGAAAAAGATTAATAGGAATTAAAAATTTAAAGAGATAAGAAAAGCTCTAATTAAGTCCTATCCTATTAATCAAGATTATAGTAGTAAGGCAAAAGAAAACGCGATTACCTATCTAGGCAGTATCTAGGCGGCACTAATTAACCCTATGTTAATAGCGGAGAAAACAAACAGGATCTATTTAACTATAGACTTTAAAGCTTACGCTCTATTAAAGAGCACTATCTTTAATAATAGGGGTGTAGTACACCTAGTTAATAATATAAGCTACCTAGAAGAAAGCTAGTTTAGATTAGTTAAATATAAGATAGTTAAAGTAGGAACTTAAGCTTTTCTAATCTTAGGCAGAGGGACTAGAGTGATCCCTAATGCTCTTAATAGACCAAGAGGTCTAAAAATAGAAGATTTAGTGCTTACTAACGTGGTGTTAGTAGAAGGTTTTTATGTGAATATTATATTAGAAGCTTAATTACTTAAAGTAGGAGTTTAGTTCCTTAGGCTAGATGCTACCTTACAGTTTAGATTATTAGAAAAGAGCGTTATATTAGCCAAGTTACTGCGTAAGTTTAACTTAACTTTTCTAGAATACAAGCCCTCTACTCCTTATCTAATAATCTAAAGCATAGTGCCTAAATAACCCTAATAATCCTAGACAACTTACCTAAGATATAATAGTAAGGAGCTTTAGCACTAATAATTAGGCTATTTAGGACCTAAGGCACTTAAAGCTGTAGTTAAGTTAGTAATAAATGTTAGGATTAAAGGAACTCCTAGGAGCAAATGCGAGCACTACGCTATTACACATGCCTAACAGGTTATATTAAGATAACTAAGGGAAAGGTTGCTATATCTATACTACTAGGTATTATAGGATCTATTTAACATGCTAATAGGTATAGCTTACAAGTAATAGATCTTAGTATTAAAGTGCGACTACTTAGAAAAGCTTTATACCTATCTACTATAAGCTAAAAACCTTAATAAGATTATATAGGTGTTTAAAAATTTTAAGAGCTTAATACTTAACTAATATAAGCTTAGTATAGTTAAGATTATATAAGATAATAATATTATAATGCTCTCTTAGCGTAGCAAATCTTGCTTTTAGATCTAGGTAGCTAATAATAGTATTAAGATTAAGAGCTTACCTATATATACCTATAAACCTAATAGAGGAGTAGAAAGAGTAGGGCAGGAGATTATAACAAAATTAATTAAAAGAAGGATTAGAGCTAACCTACTAACAAAGCTCTAGCCTAAAATTATTAAAGCAGTGACTTAGGTCTATAATATAAGCCTGTCCTATACTTACAATATAATATCACCTAACAAAGTGCTAGATTATTAGTTTACTAGATACTTTAGGTAGTAGTAACTAGAGCAGATAAGGGAGGTAACTACTAATCTCTGCCCTAATTAGAGCGGAATATACGCCTATAGCTATTAAGCTTAC